ATGAAGTCGACGTAGCACCAACGGACAAGATGTGCATCTGAACGCCTCCAATCTGGTAGAGTTGTGGTGGTCTAGATGCTTATAGCTGATTATTTGTTGCTGGCGGTTGTGGTCGCTGAGTAGACTGGCTGACATTTTGGACATAAGCGTGGTCTTGATAGTCGTTATCCTGGTTGTAGTCAATGGAATGCCAATTTTGATCGTAGGCATCACTCTGTGTCCACCAGTCATCAGCCTGTGTAGCATGTTCTCCTGCTGTGCTCATTCCGTAGATTGGCACTCTGCAGTCTCGTGCATAATGCCCTCTGCCACAATTGTAGCATTGGACTCCTTTGCCTTTTCCTGTAGGCTTTCCTTTTCCGTCGTGTTTTCCTTTGTCCTTTCCTTTGCCGTACTGTCCTTTTGGGTTGAACCTGTTGTAGTTCTGATTTCCATAGCCTTTTTTTTTCTTCTGCCTAGCCTCATTGTACGAGCTGCTTCCATGTCATGTTGCGCAAGCCTTCCTCAGGCAATGGGATGTTCAACATGTGCAAAGAAACAGGAACGGTCCTGATTTAGCAGGCAGGCAAAACAGTTGCGGAAATGTTTCGAGGGGTGTGCTTTTGAAAAGGACCCCGCAAGGACTGGCGCAGCTTGGTGCACCACTTGTCTTCCAACCTCAGAGGTTGCCTCGAGCAGAAGGCGAAGGAGATGACCGTGCTTCGCTCGCCAAGGGAGCAGCGTGAAAATGTGTGTGTTTTTGGTCATGTTGTGTATGTTTCTCAATTTGCAGCCGGCCTTGGTTCTCAAAACCACTGGTTTGGGCGTCTAACTCTATGGGCCTGTGAGCCCATGGGTTGTTGGCTGCGAACATGTTCATTGTGCTTTGCTGCCCACTGAGGAAAGAAAGTCGTGGGAACACTCTCCAGAGTTTCAGGCTGGGGTATTTTTGCTACAACGTCTAGTCTCCGAGGGTGTGGCAGTGGACGAGGTGGCAAAGGCAAAGAGCCCCCGACGCTTCCTGATTGGGGTGCTTGAACTAGATGGACGTGCTGGAGGAAGCCATCAGAAAGCCTGGCAAAGTGCCGACTTCCTCGAGCAAAAGGTCCGGGGCGAAAGTTACCGCCTTACGCCGAGGGGAGGGAGGGATTTCTAGAGAGCCAGATTCAATGGTACGCCTGAAGCAGGTGCACATCCCTGGCCAGATTTCACAGAATGCGCAACGCAAGTACGTCCTCATCGTGTGCGACGGAGTGATCGGCTGCGGCAAGTCCGCCTTTATGGACAGGATCCGCGGCGTCAACGTCTTCCACCAGCCCGTGGCGCAGAACTCCGAGAACTCTTGGTGGCGTCTTCTGGCGAACTTCCACGACGCCACGTCGTTGCAAGCCCGCCGGGAGCAGGCCAATTGGCTGTTCCCACCATGATTTGAAAGTGTTCACGAGGAGTGGTTGAATACTGGTCGCTTCAGCGGCAGGGTGGTTACTCTCAATTGTGTGTCAGATGCTGGGGTTGCTCTCAATGCCATGCCGGTGTGTGTGTGCGCGTGTGCCAACAGTAGGGGGTTACTCTCAAAACTGGAATGCCCTTGCGCTGCATCTTCCCGTCCCCTTCTTTTCGCTTATTTTCGCGTGCCTGGAAATTAGACATCACTTGCTTTGACATTCCCAACTTCCCAACTTTAGACATGAGCGACCTCAACTGGGGGCAAACATGTCCTCCCGAACGCGAACGTGTGCCCGTGTCAAACTGCTTTTGTTTGGTGTGGGTGTGGTCCTGGTGATAGTAGCCCTCATAGCACGATGCAGTGTTGTTCAGCCAGCTTGGAACAGACAAGCACTCTTGAGCCTCGGCTCGAGTCGAGGCCTGCTGGGCACCCCAGCTAGTCGTGAGAAGAAACCAGGGCCGGCGGCAAGCCAAAGAAATTGTGTTCTGAAGATGCCTTTCTGAAGATGACGCGAATGAGAAAACGAGCGATTTTACTGATTGAAGGGGCAGGATACCTCGTGGTGAGCAACCTTTGCTAACAACCATGTAATTAGCTTGCAACGATTGTGTCTACGCACCCGGTCGCCCCTCTAAGGTGGGTCAGGCAGGTTGGCACCTGGAGAGGGCAATCTGGGCGCACCATCGTGCCATTGCCACGCAGCGGGTGGCACACGCGATCACGAAGGGGAGCTGCGCTTCGGCCCTCCACGTCTTTTGCAAGACGATGCAGGCAGGGTTGGATGCGTGTGTGGCGATTGAGACCTATGGGACCTGATTGTGAGTTCGCGCCCTGCACAGCATGAGACCCTTTGAACTCAAGCCCCACCCCAAGCATCATTTCACAGGTTTGTGAGTTTGTCAACTCTTGGTTTTTACACAAGATGTAGCAATACATTTGTTATTTCGGATAGCTGATGTTTCAGACAATTGTGGCAATCCGTGGGACTGGAAAAATGAGAAAAGTGTTCGCATTGGCTTTGTAATTTAATGCTTTTTTTGAGGTGGGCGTGGAAGGTTAGCGCTAATCGGACGGAGTTTTCTAGGTGTGTTTTGTTAGGGTGACCTAGTTTTCCAGACTTGTCTGATATTATGAAAAATAGTTTTGGTGAGGAGTTTCAGGGGAAGCACGTTGGCATTAATTAAGCGGATTGCTAACCAGGGCCCAACATTGCAGTGGCATCCAAAGAGTCCAGGACCTTCAAACAAGTCAGCCCCTGGCAGGAGAAGGGGCTCCTGGAGCGGCGAGCATTGGCTGCAAGTTGCAAGTGGCTGTCACGAGCCCAACTAGCTTGGCCCCCATTTTAGACCCACAAAGCCGATAAAAAATGCAATTCTGATGAATTATACCTAGAAATTGGTGACCCCTTCCCTTTTGACCAAGGCCAGTTTCACACATTTCTGGATGACTTCTGCGAAATGGAGAAGAACATATGCCACCAAACCACGCTGACGGTATACTTCCGTCTGCCAGTGGACGAGGCAATGAGAAGGATTTCAAAGCGAGCAAAGGAGGAGGACCGCTTCTTTGAGAGAGACATCACTCCGGAGTACTTGTCGAGCTTGCTTGCGAATCTTCGCGCGTGTGTTTTTGGTCTCCAAGAATTGTTTTTTTTGGGCCGTGGCTAGAAATCAAGTTTGCGTTGGGACCTTTTGAGCCACCTAGGAAATATGAGGAGCTGCACAAGGACCGTGAGGATGTAATCAGCGTTGATTCCAGCCAGCCAAACGATGAGATGCGCCGTGACGTGGTCCACCAGCTTGAGCGAAGGTATGAGGAATGGCTGAAGTTGCTTAGGAACAAAGGCTTTCCAGCATCCGAGACCTTGGATCTCATCATTCACTGGTTCAGGCAGGCCAAGTGTACATAGAAGTTTAGTTTCCGAGCGCTGCAGCAGCTGCTTGCGCTAACATTACAGTTGCAAATCGCATGCAAAAAGGGCTGGGACCTCCGTTGACTGTGACATACAGGCTGCAGTTTGTTTTTTGCCGGGGCATTTTGAAAGGCAAATATGGGCACCCAAAACAGAAGATGGGGAGTGTTGGCTCACGGGTGAGATAAGTGGGGAGGCACATGCCTGTGGAGGGCGCAGCCACAATAGCTCCACGGATCTCTACGGATGTCTCCCAAACCACCAAAAGGTGATCCATAAGCAGATTCCTCTACAGATGAGGCTTTGGATTGAAGAGTGGGAATGGTTCATTGCGTGCTTCTGCAAAATGACGGTTTTGCCGTTGACAACTACAAAAAAAGCGACGGTTTGCTGTATTAAAACTTGTGGAACAGAGCTTCAGCAGCCTGTTGGAGGCATGTGCGGCTTGTCACATCCCTGAAACTCAGGCCTATCCGGTTGTCTTGTCCATGAAGGGCGTGATTGTCCGCAGCCAGCGGCTGGAAAGTGAAAGTTGTTCCTTCTGGTATTTCGGGCCAACTTGAAGCCTGCGGCTGTCTTGTGCCTGTGCAGAAAGAACAACTGTCCCCATATAAGTCGTGAATGCATTTGCTCAGGTCTGAAACCGCCAGCTTTGGTTTCTGTTTCAGCTCATGGAATGGTTTGGTTCTAGGGTAGGGGTGGCAAACAGAGATAACAAGAAAACATGGCTTGACTCACATCATGGTTCAACGCGGGCAGGGGCAGCAACGCAAGATGCAAGCTTCCGAGGGGTGCAAAATATGTTGGGACTTCTTGAATTTGGGGAACCAGCAAGAAATGGTCGGATTCCTGAATACTGCCATCTTCCAGGTGCCCCATTGCAAGTTTCCATAGGGCAAGCCGCAACTGGGAGACCTGCTTGGGATCTTGAGATGACTTCGCTCCAACTGACAACGTCCATGATCTAATTGTAAAAGCTTCGCGTTGCCCGCCTTGGCCAGTATGCTTTTGGCTGGCTTTGAGGTACTGTGTTTTGGTTTGCCTCGAAGTGTTGTGTTAGTTTGCGTCAGCTGGTTTCTCCAAGAGAGTATATCGGACTTGGGCAAAGAACTATGCATTCTGGCGTCTCAAAAGAAACAACAAATCCTAAAGCGAGAGGCGTCCCGCTTTGGCAAGCAGCCGCCTTCTCTTACGACTCTCATTTCGAAAGTCCTGGGTCGCCGTTTTGGGCGACGCGCACGGAATACTGCGTAAGGTTTTGAGAGCCGCGAGCTTATCCTGCCCGGGCTGGGGCTCACTTTCTCCGGCAAGCCCAAGGCGCTCACTAGGCCCCTCAGCACGCTCAACAAGAGTCTGGCCCTGCTGCTCATTCACTGCACGATCATCACCAGCAAGGCTCTGCAGCTCACTCGACAGGCCCCTCAGCAGGGCGGGGCCAGAACGTTGTTGAGCTCATTCACTGCATGATCACCAATAATAAGGCTCTGCAGCTCACTCATGTCACCCCTGGGTGCTTGAGTGTTAGCAAGCACGGCCACTTGCATAGCTCTAGCAGCACGGCGCATAGGGAGGCAAAAGGATTGTGCAAAAATGCCTTCACTCGTAAGAGGCTCAGGCGTGGCCTTTTAAAACCTGTGCTGAAAACCAAGTCACACAGCAGCATCGTGAGCCTGAGGCCTGATAGTAATTGAGATTGATGGTGATTGATATTAATTTTGATTTATTTGGATATTTTAAAAATGATTTAACATAGAATTTGTTTTATAAAATGCTGAGGACTAATTCGTTTTATTTTTTGGATTTGCTTGCTTAGTCGATTGAGGTTATGTTGATTGATTTTTTTTTAGGGATTTGATTTGTTATTTAAGATTTGATATTATTTGTTTTATGTATTATTTGGTTTTATTGAAAAATGTTATGGATTTTTTGTTATTGTTTGTTTTTAAGTTCGTTGTTTTGTGGTTTTATATATTTATAATTGGATGATATATTTAATTATATATTTGATTTATATATATTTATTTATTATATAGGTTAATTATATTTTTTAATTATTAAGATTTTTAATAATAATTATTTTAATATTTTAGAGATATTATTATTATTTAATTATATATTTTTTAAATAATTTATAGGATTTTTTTAAATTATTTAAATTTGAAAATATGTTTTAAATAATTGTTAGATTGATATTTTTATTTTTAAGAATGGATTATATTTAAGTATTGAATTATTTGAATTAAATTATATATTGAGATTGTTTATATATTTCTTTTAAATTTTTTATTAAAAGATATATTATAATTAAATTTTTAAAAGGTGATATATGGAATTGTTAGGAAATTAATAAACCAATTATATTAAAATTATATTTATTGGATTTTTTTGAAGATATATTTTAATTTGATGTTTTTTGATTTTTATGGATTTTTTTTATGGGATATATTTATTTTAAATTAATTTTAATACTTAAATTATATATATGGGTTTTTTATATTATATATTAATATATTTAAAATTTAATATAATAATATATAGTTTAAATTATATTGAAATTTTAATTTATATTTTAAAATTTTAATATATATAAAATATAAAATATAAACATTATATTATTTAAATATAATAATATATATATTAATTTAAATATTTAAATTAAAAAATTTAAGTTAAAACTATTATGTAGAAATTATTGCATGAAAAGATTAACAATTTATAATATATTATATAATTTAATTTAAATCTTTAAATCGAAATATTCTATTATAATGATATTTAATAATCTTAAACTAATATTATTTAAAATATACAATTATATTATTCCACTCTAAACTAGACCACGGTTGGTCCGAAAGCAGAATATCGTAAGCGAGGTCGGCTTGATGCTACAGGATATATTTTTTTTTCCCTATACTTCGTATTACTTCGTGAAGCAAACGCGAGACGGCACTAGGCAAGGTGCTCTGCGCAAACTGGTCGGTGTAAGTTAGTCTGCGCAAGTTGCTCTATGCAAGTTGCACTGTGCAAATTGCTCTGTGCAAGTTGCTTTCCTTGCAAGTTGCTCTGTGCAAATTGCGCTCCTTGCAAGTTGCTCTGTGCAAGTTGCTCTATGCAAGTTGCTCTGTGCAAATTGTTCTGCGTAAGTTGCTCTGTGCAAGTTGCTCTAGGCAAGGCGCTCTGCGCAAACTGGTCGGTGCAAGTTGGTCTGCGCAAGTTGCTCTGTGCAATTTGCTCTGCGTACGTTACTCTGCGCAAGTTGCTGTAAAATGCAAATTGCATCTTGCGACGCCCGCCCGCGGACTAGGGAGGAATCGAACCCGCGACCCGCCGGTTCCGGGAGCAGGCGCGCGAACAACTCCCGAGGACCAAACCTCGAATTTTTGCACCTCGACCACGTCAATCCCCGCAGAGGGTCGCACGAGCATGTTGGAAATCACAAAAAACATGAGTTTTTGTACCTCGGCCACGCCGATCCCCGTAGAGGGTCGTGCAAGCATGTTGGAAATCGCAAAAAACCATGGGTTTTTACACCTCGACCACGCCGATCGCCATAAAGGGTCGTATAAGAACTTTAAAAATCGCAAAAAACCATGGTTTTTTGCACCTCGACCACGCCAATCCCCGCAGAGGCACTACCCCGCCGCCCTAAGAAGAGATTTTAACTCCTCGTAAGTCAATTGCACTTGACTCCTTGCACTTGTAACTTGCACTTAAATCCTTGCTTATTTCAAAGAGTCATTGTAAGCAGTCATTGCAGAGAGTCATTACAAGGAATCATTGCAAAGAGTTATTGCAAGGAATCATTGCAAAGAATCATTACAAGGAATCATTGTAAGGAGTTATTACAAGGAATCATGAGAGCCATTGCAAGTTGTAAGCAGCCAAGTGCATAGAGCCAAGTATATGGAGTAAGTCGCAAGTGCATGGAGTTAAGTGCAAATTGCAAGTGCAAAGAGTCAAATGCAAAGAGCCATATGCAAAGAGCCAAGTGCAAAGAGCCAAGTACATAGAATCAAGTGCAAGTTACAAGTGCATAGAGTCAAGTGCAAGTTACAAATGCAAAGAATCAAGTGCAAGTTACAAGGAGTTAAATTGCAATCCTTACCATAATTCCTTACAATAATTCCTTACCATAATTCCTTGCAATAACTCCTTACAATAACTCCTCGCCCATAACTCCTTGCAATAATTCCTTACCATAATTCCTTATAATAATTCCTTATAATAATTCCTTATAATAACTCCTTATAATAATTCCTTGCAATAATTCCTTATAATAATCTATATAATAATAAATCCTTACAATAACACCTTACAATAATTCTCATAAAAACAACTCAAATAAACCCAGCGGAAAAACCCTTCGCCATACTTTCGAAAAAACAAACCCCCCAAAAAATAACAACTCTACCCAATATAAAAAAAAATAAACAAATATAATAACTCATCACAATCACAACAATTCGGCTAAAATAACTCTACAATATAAAATCTATAATCCTATAATACCGATTTTTTAGAAAAACATATCTTATAATCAAATATGTTTAATCAATTAGCAATATTTCTATATATATTTGTTTTCAAATATATTTTTTTCTTAATTTCATTTGAATTAGATGTTGATTCGAGGGTCTAATTTTAGTCTCCGATTTACGCGATTTGTCTCTCGCGGTCCGAGCGCGCGACCACGCATCCACATCAGCTCACCAACGCGAAAGCTGAAGGACTTTAAAGTGACTCAAAAGAAAAAGTCTCAAACAGATGCTGCTGCTCTAGGCCAACGATGGGTGCGCGGCGGAATCATTATCGATCACCCCAGTTTCAGGGTCCTAAGAATTCCATGCAAAAATGCGACGAGCCCGCTACAATAGATTCCTGAAGACATTATTTTTATCCTTAGCGTTTTGATTGGGGCCAAAAGGGAGGCCAAAACGGGTTCCAACTACATTTAGGGCTCCGGTTTTTATTACACCACATCTAGAACTTAAAGATCGCCTAGAGCAAAAACGGGCAAGCTCGCATCATCCTTCTTTGCGCAACTTTGCTCGCTTCCTGTCCTGGGGTTGGCGCGTTTTCAGGGTACAATTGGGGGATGATGTACGGAAAACAAGAGGAAACCACTGACACCCTTATTGCATACTTGCACGGAAACAATGAGGCTGAAGTGCATGCCTTTCAACATACTGTAGAAAACACGTGCAATACTTGAGGCAGCTTCGGGCGGGCAACTTCTTCGCACATGCGGTAACTGAATTTTTTTTAGGGCGGGTGCTCACCGAACAAATTGTGAAAGAGAACATTTGTCCTTGCCACTTGCTGGTTCGCAGCAGGGGATTTTCCGGAACCGCCCCGAACTGATCCATGCCTTGTGGCCCCTCAGGCCTCCGAAAGTTGATGTACCGAGAACCAGTGAGTTGAATGGGAACCAAGGTCGCCCTCTCCTAGCTGGAAACTCACTTCCGGGACCAGGTGATGTTCAAAACGCACCCAAAAGGAAAATGCTGCACAACTCGGCAACACAGAAACTGAAAACATGGAATATGGTATCAACAAAAACAACAAAAAGAGGTAAAACCGCACACAAAAAACTTGAGGAGCGGGTGAACGAAAACTAGCAGTTGTTGCATGAGATGGGTCGGTGACAGAGTGGATTCATAGGTAGCTTGTGTACAACGAGAGGCCCGGCAAGATTCGTAGGATGCGTCACGCAAACGCACATGGTGGCGTGGCAAACCTTGAAAAATGAAAACAACGAGAGGCGTCAGAAGCTGTCTTAAAGCACCTGTGGGTTCTGCATGCAGCGTGTGCCAAGATTCTTGCGAGGTGGTTTACCGAGAAGACTGAGGTCTCAAGTGAACAAGCTGAATCGGTGGAACATGTAAAAGTTCGTAGCACCAAGTCCAAAACGGGCAAACCGAGACTGCTGAACACTGAGCCACTGCCCGGGGGGGGGGATGGACCAGGGAGGAATCGAGCCTGAGACCCGGGGGGGGGGGGGGAGGGGGGGGGGGTCTAAATAATTGATATTTTTCAATCTTTTCGGCTCAAATAATTGAAAAAATCAATCTTTCGGCATTTGAGCCCCTTACCTTGCTTACGCAAGGAGAAACTTCAGCTAGCTAAAGCTAGCTTTCGTGACAAGACTGCTGGCCCAGCTGGGAATCCCAATTGGTCCTTCAGAACTCCTCGTCTGATGCGAAGGGATCGAGCTCGGGGAAGTCTCCCACTTCCACCTCGGCACGATTCATGGAAAGAAAGAGGCCAAATGGGCGCCCCTTTTGAGGGAGCCCTTTTTTGGGTTGATTGTAAAAAACCAAAGGGGCACCACCCGTTTGAGGGTTGGAGCCCCAATTTGAGACAAACCCAAATTGAAGATACTGAAGTCATGAGATGCCAGGAGCAAAAACGTGCTGAAGCCTTGGATTTGCCGCTCAAGAATATGACTACAAGGGTGCCCTCAACACGAAACACACCTCCACATGTCTCCACCGGGGAAACCTCGACAATAAGGTGATGCTCCGGTTTCCCGCGGAAACCTACCTCAAGAGTGTCCACACATCATCCGCCTTCTTCTCTGTGCTCTTGTTGAACTGTCTAACCCTGCAACCCTCTTGGTGTCCTGTTGGCTTTCCATTGGCTTCTCTTTAAATTCCCTTGAAGTGACCAGCCGAGCGGCGTTCTCGGGGCGCGCAAAGCAGCCGTACCGGTCGCCCTTGCAACTGAAGTACCGCTCCCCCGCCTTGGCGCCGTCGTTGTTGCCTGTGCGAGCGCACGACTCCCCATGGATGTCCTTAGGTATCCATATATCCATAGACACCCAGTCCGTTTCACCCCTCAAGTCTTCCCAGGCCTAGGCATCCGATTCCGGCGAGCCAAGCAGCGACCGGGTTTGGACCGGGACCAACAAATCCCACGGAGATCCCAACAGCCAGGTGCGATTCAAAGCATGCCGGCGATGGCAAATGAAACTGTGGAGCTCCTTCCCCTGGGTGAACACAACAAAAACCAACCAATCATTGGGCCTCGCTCCAAATAGGGAAACAGACCTGGTTTCGCTTTGGTTTCCCTTGCGAACCCAAGAAGAGTGTTTCCCAACCCCAAAGAAAGGCACGTAGACGGTGGCAGCCGAACAGCCCCTGCCTTGTGGCTCATCTAGGGCCACGCCGATCCAAACGCCCTGGCATAGCTGCAACACATGAAGCCATGTGGGCGTGGCTCAAAAGACACCTATGTGTTTCTGCCTACCAATAGAACAAATGGGTGGTATCCAGCTTTTTGGAAACACCCCAGCATGTGGGTAAACAGAATAACGAACAACCTCTTGGTAGGCAACCTCTTGGTATGTGCCCTGGTCCATCAAGTCCTTACGTGGGTGGTCAAAAAACGCCATCGTGCGGATGGGGATCCGTGACCTTCGAAGATGGCCATGGCTCAGCCTTTCGGGACCTGTGTCCTTCCAAGTACTCGCCTCTGGGGCATCACAAAGAAACCAACCAGTCTGCCCGATTTGGAGACACCCCCTGGTTTTGTAGGGACCCTTGCATTGTGTGTAACTCTTCAAGGAGCTATATGTCTAATTTCCTTGACTGGGTCCTGGGTGCCAAATAGGGTTCTGAACAAAATGCAAAACATTATCCCCTTGAGACTTCATAAATATACACGAACTATGAGTTGGAAATTATGGGCTATGTACCCAGCAAAGTACATGGGTGAAAGATGCAAGCATGGGACCGCTCAAAAGGTGGCCCGGTGCGAGTGCCGGGAGAATGAGCAAAATCCAAGGACTGAATGCAGCCGTACCCTGATGTTGGGAGTGAAGGGATGTTTTAAGCCACGGCACACAACATGACAGACACATGTGTAGAAAAGCTCCGACTAGTATCTGCTACCAGTAACGCAGTTGATAAGCCTGGCATACCAAGAGAAATAAACACCCCCACAAAGGTCCACAATCCACTGGCCCAGCAACAAAAACAACAACACAGCCTGGCCCTCTACTCAACTACGGAAAACATCTATCAACGCAAAGTTTGACGCTTGCCAGCTGAACAGGCAAGCTCTTGGATATTCTTGCCAGTGGGGTATTCTAACAAGGTTGAGCCTGGCAATGGACACATCAGTCAGATGCTTCAAGCAAACCGTCTTTCGAGCAGATCTGGGATGATTACCCTTGGACGACCAACAAATGCCCAAAAGTTCAAGGGCTAAGGCACTCCAGCGCAACAGCAAGCCGCTGAATCCGAAGCCACAGGCTTGCTCCAAACAGGGACCCCCGGTTCACCCACCAAATTCCAAAGGTGACACTTGAGATCTCTGATCCTCAGGGCGGATCGGAGGGAAGTTTGGGTTTGCGCGGAAAGCAAAGTCTGGGAGCTCGGAGAAAAATGGGTCGCAAGCCCAACAAAACCCCCAAAGAAACCACAAAACCCAAATAAAGCAACGGACCAAATTGCGCAACCTTGGCCCAACATTCCAAAAGCAACGGGCCAAATTGCGAAACCCGTTACAAACCCCCAACGAAACCTTGGCGACGAAAATGCCACTGGCCGCGTGCCTTGGCGCCCTTCACCAGGCCCACGAAAGCCACGGCTCCGCGGCGGCCCCCCGGCGCCACCTGGCGCCGGGTTTCGGGGTTCGTCTCGGGGAGGGTCCAGGGGAGGGTAAAAAAAACGGGTTTTTGGGGTGGGTTTTTTATGGGGAAACTTCGAGGAAACTCAACACAGACACGTCTTTTTTTGAGGTTTGTCGGTGATTATTTTTTTGGGTGGGGGGGAAGGGGGCCGTTCTCCATATTCTGAGACAAACTCAAGTGCCCCCCCGCCGGAATGGGCTAAACCCGGCCACCTCTTCCGAGCGTCGGACTGCACCCCTGTCTCGCAGAACTTTGCGGAACATTTGCAAGGAGCAAAGGCCACAATATCATGCGCCGAGTCATTGGCGTTCTTGAAAGCTGAGCTGCGCCTTTGGCAGCTGGAATAGTAACTCAACAACTGGCAAAACCATAGGTTCCCCATGAAAGGAACGACATCATGGGTTTGGCAAGACCACAATTCTCAATGAATGGGTCAAAACTACTGGTCAACGTCTATGGTTTCCATCACAAACCATTATGTCCAGATCCCTGGCAATGGGCCTGGGCATCACGGGGTTTGGCGCCAGCAAATTCGACTGGATCGCTGATGGCAAATCTGACAGACACCATCACCCCCCTACCTGCGATGCGGCCAAACTGGAACGAAACAACCCGATCCTGATGTTTGCGTAGGCAACATAATTCCCCCCCCCCCCCGTGGCGAATCGTTCTCAGGTTCTTTCCAAAGGCGGAAGCAAGCATCAATCGGTTCAGGTCAACTTCACCATCCCTTAAAACTCACAATACCTTACCATGAAAGACATAATCCCAGGTGCAACCAAACACCCTGGTAGCAAACAGAGAATACGTTTTGGGTTGTGGACAATCCACCAAACAAATCGGAAAAATCCTCTGAAGAAGTGGATGACTGACCTCTTGACAAACCAAACCAAACATTGGGAATGACGCTGGAGCTCGTCAAACGGGTGAAGCCCAACACGGATGTTTGAGGGTGGTTCCCTTCAAAACAACAATGCGAGTACACCTCAACAAAGAGGGTGCTCCCCAAGATGGTGGTTTCCTTTTGGATTCGCATTAAAACCACCAACAACGAGTACCCTCAGCAAAAGACGACTCATACATATCAGGTGCCTTACTCTGCACTCACAACTTCAAGTGGATGGCTCAGCGTCTTCCAAGCCTCGCACCGACTGTCCAAGGGTATTCTAGCACTGACCTGGCGCCAGTCAAAATCAGCCAGGGGTTGGTTCGCACGGGTATGAACCAGGGTTCGGCAAACCTGTTGAAACGTGTCTGAACCACTTGGCTATGAATTTTCACGGAACCCCCTCCCACCTAAATGATGTCCACCAAAGGGTCCTTTTGGACTCATTTAAGTCATACCCATTTTGATTGAATCATCTTGGGGGCAATCAGGTTGTTTCAACGCTGCAGTCAACTTGGCCCCCCTTCTCACTTTTTCGGCCCTTGCGGGAATCTGGGACAGCCTTTTGTTCGATTTGCAAAATAATCAAGTCCAACACACGCACAGGAACCAAGTGCGCCCGGAGCGCTCCGGCACCCCCTTCTCTTTTGGTCGTGGCCCAGAAAGATCCGCGAGCTGGTTTGAGTCTTTTAGTTCGCGTTTGCCAACTTGCCTTCACTGTCGCACACTCTGGGGCGATTCAACTGCCCCAAATTTGGTTTGGGCCTTCTTTCCAATGTTGAAATAGCACCCACCAAAATGAAGCTCACCAAACAAGTTGGCCTTTCCAAAAGATGTTGTCTAACACGGCTAACAGAAGGCGCCACTACAACTCATACTGTTGTTCTGATCTCCGTATCATGCGCCAATGCAATACTGGATGGAGAACGGTGCCTAAAGCACCATTTGGCAAGCATTGGTTTTTCCATATACCACTGTCCGAACCAGATCTTCCGCCATCGACCCCAAGCATTCGGACCTCACACTTGCCTGCGCATGGGTTTTGCCTCAAGACCAGCAGATCCCTAAATGGTCGGTTACCTTTTGGTCTTCCTTTACACCAACCCCGAAGAAGGGGAATTCTCAAGAACAAAGAAACAGCTCGTCTGCCTTTCAACATTGCCCGAGTTTGCTTTGGCCCAAAATCGACAGGTGCTCCTCGGGTGCTCCCATTCCCTAACTACTTTGTCACTGTAAAAGGGGATTCCCTTGGCAACACAGAAGTACCAAGGATGAGTTACATTCTCCACAATTATCCTTTTCAGGTCCTGAATAACGGGTCCTTCTTTTGGTACGTTTGTGTCACACAAAGCGGCACCAGAACCTCTATGAGCGCGTCTGTTTGGGAATGGCACCCCTGTTCCACCCCCATGTGCTAAGTCTCACGAGACCTGGCAAGCTGTTTGAACATTAAATCGCTAATTCATCTTAGTTAAAACAAGAGGATCCAGGTGACAGGCTCCGGTTGGGATGGGCTGCATCCACCCTGTAGCACAAAACCAAAACACCAACTGAGGATTTTGGGAGGAAACGCGCGCTCAGCTCCACAAGTCACTGTCAATTGCGCTCCTCCTCCACCGTCTCCCCGGGCTCTTCTTCGATGACCTGCGCTTTGATCCAAACCATCAACTGGATTTGCTGCTGGTTTGACCGAAAAGGTCGAAACAAGGAGCCCGTTGGTTGGTTGAGTTTTTTAAAGCCCTTCGGTACGAAGATGGAACTCATGCGTGGTTTTTTTCCGGGAGATGATCATGTCTTCAGCACAACAAAGAGGGACATTTGGTTGTGGATAGTTTGATCAAGCCTTTTACAAGGGACTGAAGAAGATGTTTCCACAAAATGGGCGTCCCTATGGTTTCTGCTAGATGTCTTCTGGTTGCCTTTGCAGGCCACCTATAAAAGGTTGTCTTTCTGGAGACCCTTGGAATGCATACGCAACGGGTTGTTTTCCCTTGAATGCCATCTAGACTGCCCAAAGAGGGTTTTTACAGCTGGGGTCCCGCCGTTGTGAATACAACTGGCGAGGCCCAACCATGTTCAAGGTGCAGTATAAGGACTTATCACCGTTCAAAATGCGTTTGACGCTTTCTGGGTCGATTCAGCAACAACATGAACAACCTTTCAACAATGGAAGGCCTCATGCGCTGGACACATTTGCCCCGGACACTGCAGGGTTGCACCCTAGAGCACTAGTCGAGAACCAAACCGTGGGAAGAACCCGCGGCGTCCACCGCAATTCCAGCGAAAGGAGCCGGCCCTTTGCAACGCGCCCAATCTGCAAATTCTACTTAAGGTCTCTAAAACCTGAAATGAGAAAGAAAGCCAAGACGTGGATCCCCAATGAGCGGACCAGGGTGGACTCGTTCTACCCATTCCCCCATTCCCTTTTCGGAGCCTCACCAGCAGCTCTCCGGGCAGCGCGCTCTGCCTCGGCCTGACCAGGAAAACCAACAGGAAATCCCATATGCGGGGGGTATTCTGGTTCCAGGTACCAGGGTGTTTGTGCCAGTTTGGGGGTTCCCTCACAAAAGACAAAATCCATATGAAAGTGTCTTTTTTTGAGGGTACCAGGGCACCCTGTTTGGAAGTATTGAGGGTTGATCAACAGGTCCAATGTGTCATGGGATGACCATTGGTTGGAAAACCACTAAGATGATATTTCCCACATGGAAAAAGTTAGCCTTGGGTCACTTTGGGTTTGAAGGGCAGATTGATTCACCTCCATATGGGTTTGTTTTTGCTCACGCCACCATCAGCGGACCCAGGCAATGTGCATATTTGGTAACCTCTTTTCTTTGGTGGTGGGGGGGGGGGTGGGGGGGGGAGGGGTAATAGCGTTCGCGTCTGCGTGCACTCTTGTGCTTCCGAAAGCCGTTAGCCTCATGCTGTCTCTGCCTTCTCTGTTTGCGCTTACCTTTGTGATCTTGCTTCGTGTTGCTGGCTTCACGTCCACTCCTGGTGCGCTTCGGGATCTGTCCTGTTTTTTCGCGGTGCCCTTGCTGTGCCTGGAGGACCTGCATTTAGTGCAGTGCCTGCCAGGGGCGGACCCTGTCTTGGACTTCGTTCAGCAAACCTCCTTGCTGGAAGACAGGTACCAATTGCGGTTGTCTTAGGGCCTCATCTGCTGCCCTTGCACGCTCTTTGGACCTGCGTTCTGCGGTCTTCTCTGCATCGCCGGCCGCCTGCGTTCGCGCACTTCTGCTTCTCCTTGCACAAGTACAGCAAAATGGAGTTCACTCGGGCAGCTGGTCACACCAAGCGAGGACAAGCCTCTCGTACGACGCATGGCACGCAGTGCCTTGACCGCAAGTGGGGCAGCCTCAAGCGGTATGTTCCGAAGGAACGCCGCAGTAAGAGTAAGGAGACTCGATCCGTGAACGACCAGCTGCGCACATACGTCTACTCGTATGTCTATAGGTGCAACACAAGCCAACAGAGCTTGTTGCAAGAGTTAGGCAAGCTGGCGCGAGGATGTGCCTGAAGCCGGTTTTTTTCGGCCCAGCCTTTGCCCCTGAATTGTGTTTGCCCGATAGAAATAAGCTACAAAGTTGGCAATGTCATGGGACACGTGGTGTATTTCAGCATGCCTCAAAATGCGGCATTTCACAAAGTGCTGGAAGGGTTGACGATTTCCCCAATTGACATGGCTGGTGAAGTGCGAATTCAGCGGGGCCGCTAACAACGACGTGACCTTGTTTTTGAGGGCACCCTTATTGCGGCAGTTACAAAGGGAAACCAAAAGGAAACTCACCAGGGTCCCCTATTTTGACACACACACACACCCATATCCGCTTGTGAGAGGGCAAATGCATCTGTCTATCTGAGGGTCTCAAAATGGCAAACCCCTTGTGGTTGGCAGGTGACGGGAAACAAAAAGGAAACCAACCAGTGTGGAAGATCTCTGCTTGGAGGAACACCCTTGTTTTTTTGTGCTTTTTGGGGGTGCGCTCCTCCTGACCTTGGTTTCAAGGGAATGTTTGGGGGACATACCTGCCACCCCTCAATTTGTACAATTCACCAAACGGACACAAATGCAGCATGTTGTCTGGATTTTGTTGCACGCGTTCGGGTTTTCTAGCACCAACGACTAAATTGTCACAACAGTACGGTTCTGTACGGTTCCGAACCCTCACTTGCAAAGGCTTTTTGAACGCCTTTGAACACCTTTTCAACGCATGTTGAACTTCAGCCTTTGCAATTGCAACAACAGTGATCACATTTGCAAATGTGCCGTTTGGTGTTACCATTGGACAAATTAGGGGGTAGCAGGTACCTATTGACTGAAAACTGGTTTCACATCCAAACCACAACTCCAACAAAGGGTGATCTGAAAATACACCAACTGCCCGACAAATGCACATGCGCCGCTAAAAATCACGTTTGCAAAAGAAAAGGCAATTCAGCCCCCTTAAGAATTTCTATTGCGGACAAAGGGGCCTGTGCAGTGTAGCATGGAAGACGACACAGGGATTCCCCACATGTCCAGCCAAGGAAATTTGGCTGGGGACTGGGATCCTAAAACCGCCGTTCGCGGGTTGCGCGTGAGATGAGATGCCCCCTCCAACCGAAAAGCCACCTGTTGCGTGTTCCAATTGGCCAACCTGTTTATATCCACCGCCACCCATTCGTTTGATTCCTCTTGTATGGTTGTAACCAGAAAACAATCATATGTTTTTCGAAACGGCAAGGGATTTGGTCCTCGCCGGGAGGAGCTCATCGGCTCAGATTTCTGGAGGAGCATTCTCCCAGACTAGCAAAATTCATGTGGAAAACAGGCTGGTTCCTTTGTTTTGGGGAAACCCCTGAAAAGAAACAAATATAAACAGGGACCAGCGGACCAGGGTCTCTGATCAAAGCGCTCTTTCGACCGTCTGGGACCCGTCAGAGATATTAAAGATGGCTTCTATCGTCTGTCATTGTATTCCCAATGATGACACCATTCCAGGTCTGAAATGCTTGCACCCAATGATGGCATCGTTTTCCTCGTTTAAACTGCTATAAAACCTGAAATGTCTGATCCTTCCAAAGGGAAATACAAAATCGGACCCGTGTGTCTCTCACTCGCTCGCACCCGCGCCTTCTCTTCCTCTCGCCGCTTGATCGCCCGCACGCTGTTTTCCAGCCTGTCGTACTCCTGCCAGTCTCGGCCGACTGTCATTGCTCGAACCGGCCTTGTGAGGTTTTGGGTGCCCGAATTGGAACCCCTCCATGTTTCAATGATTTAAAGGGCACATGTTCAAAACCACGAGCTTTGGGGGACTCATCTGGTCTTCGCCTATTCTTTGCAGCCCCCCCTGCTAAAACAATGCGGGTATGTCGTTGGGTCCCGAGTCCCTATTTCTTAGTTGGCTGTTTGCTTTAACATTTAACATGCAAACCTTTTTGCAGTGGTGTGTAAATTGCCTGATTGGCTGGGGAGCCAAATGGAACCGGCGCCCCATCTTCAAGCTGGCAAGCAAGGCTTCCCTACTCTGACCCAAAAAGCAGCTCGCACCTCGCTTGCAAGAGACATCGGGCACCCAGATACCCTTTGAGACCCTTACAGAAATGGAAAGGATTCGCACCAAGGGGGGTTCTACCTTGCAGGGCCTCACTTCCTGAGTGAAGAGGCCCAAAAAAAAAGAGTTTACCACCAAAATGATCTTCCCAAATGAACTCGGGGAGTGAGGGGGGGGGGTCAGGTTACCTTTATTCCGACACTTGGAGGGAGTATTGTTCTTTGTGCCAAAAGGCACAACAACAGCCTCGTCTGATTTGGCCAATTGGGTTGTCTCAAATACCTAGATCTTCTTTGAGAACAATTTCCCAACATTTCCCTTAAAAAGCAAAAAACACGCGCATTGTTGGAAAACACGCTCATTTACCAAAAAAACACACATTTCGGTTCGACCAGCCATGTTCAAAAAAAATGGTTTTGGGCTTTCCGCCGATTTCCGCGCATTTTCCGCCGATTTCCGCGCATTTTCCGCCGATTTCCGCGCATTTCTGGTGGCCAAATTTGCAGGATTTTGCCACACAATGGGTGCGGAACATGAAATTGGCAGTTTCCGCGTAGATTTCGGAATTTCCGCTCAATTGGCAAAATGAGCAAAAATAACGTAATGAGCAAAAAAATGTTCCTTTTTGAGGGTCCAGGTATAGTGATGCAAAGCATGAAGCTTCCAAAACGGCAATGGTCGCCTTTTGTGTTCACTGTTGGTGCCAACAAACAGGGTATTTTAAAACTGAGCCACCCATATTGAAACCCAACAAACAAAACCGCAATAACACACAATTGCCAATATTTAGACGGACCCTGATCCAGTCACCACCTCTCTGGCCACCGGTGTGTCCAGAAATTGCCACAAAACGCTTGCTCATTTTCAGCAATGGGCAGCACGGCGGACACCAAAAAAAACAGAAAACCAGATCCCCACCAGCCGTCACACGTGGCAACCCGACCCCTTTCCCCGCTTCATGACTGGCGCTGGTTGCGTTATGTCGTCCTCATCGGCCATCTCGTACTTCACCACCTATCTCAAGCCACCGGGCGTGCAGGTTTCAAGTTTTTCTCCGATCGGCAAGGAGTCTAAGCTGCTTGTTTTAACAACATGGGCTTCCCCACAAGTAGGAAGTCTAGGAACTTGGGGAGTGAGTTTCGGGCATAGGGCTTGTCTTTCTAAACTTAAAGCGTTGTCTTCGAGATGTATCTGCTCAACTGGATTCAATTCACCAACCGTTTAGGTGGGGAGCGGGGGGCCAGAAACACTCCTGCATGGCATCCCTTGCTTTGATCCCCGAATCGAATTGGCATGGGTTTCTGTGCCATGGAACCCCCCAACAGGCCCGAAATTGCAAACGAGGTCCGGAGACAACGAGGGAAACAAACCCTTTGAAGGGTCTCCAGTTTTGACCCATACGATTGGCACACGTTACCACGAACACGGCCACTTGTACTAATCAGTGGTGGAATCTCGCCACTTTAAGAACCCACTCAGTGCCTGTTGAGGGAGTAACACAAACATTTCTTGAGGGATGCATTCTTGTCTATGTGTGAAGTAGGGCATCTGGTCAATTAACTATCTCATTGTGTCCATTTGACAACTTTTGGCTTCTCAGCGCCTATTATTTTCTTCCATCCTCCTTAGTCCCTTGCGAGACACCGGAGAGCAGTGGATAGACCCCAAAGACCAAGCAACTTATCTTGTTTGCAACCATGCGCATAATATGTTTAAAGGTGTGTTTCTAAACATATATGTTGAATTCCACGAGCAGGCAACCAACAAATACGTAGCTTGGGAAGCACTCGTGCTTCCCACGGCCTGTTCATCGCCATGGGCCAAACGGCGGGTTCCCTTCCGACAAGCCAAGGGATCCCTTACAGCCTCCAAACGGAGGCCTTAGTTTACCAAACAAACCGCTGCCCTCGACCTGGTCACACGCGAAGCAGGCCGCCAATGGGGGATGTGCCCGTGTCTAGCTGAACGGAGCCCTAAACAAACCCTGAGGCCTTCCTCGTTTTCTCAGGGAATCGTTTCGGCAATGCACCCCAGAAGTTCATCCCAAGGAAACTACAATGGATTCCATTGGCTCATAGACTCATTGGGGTTTACCGATTCCCTAGAACCAGCAATATGATCCATGAGGGCCCTGAAAAACGGCGGTGGTCGTGGGTATCCCATACACACTCATAGCTCCTGCCCCGAACCTAGGCTTCAACTCTTCTTTAAGCGCTTGCATGGTTGAAGGTAAAAAATGTCTCAACTACATTGTCAGACATATTTATGGGTCTCTCTCCAAATGTAGGACCCCCCTCCAAAAAGTGCTTTCCCTGTGCTAGGCTTTCAGACACAATATCCCACAGGGGCGCCTCAGAAAACATGCACACACAAAATCAAAGTAGGTGTGCAAACAGAAACAGCTACATTGTTTACTACATATGACATATATATATATATACATATGACAATGTACATATACATATGTATTATATGAACGAATAATACATATCCTCTGACTGGGCTGCGTTATTTTCCATAACCCCGACCCCTGGCATCGACGCCTGGCTCACATCCTCCAGCCCCCCGTGGGCCGAGATCGAGTGGGGGTTGGTGTCCTCAAGGAGCGACATGGAGCGAGGTGAGAACTGCCACAGCCAAGACTTGGTATGGTACTCAGTTGCTCAGTGACCCTGGAAAAAAGGGAACCCTTCTTTGGGAAGACCATTTTTAGCGGGGCAGCCACCAAAAAAAGGGAAAAGGGTGCCACTTGCCACTGCAAATACCCAGAAACAATGGTTTCAACCGTGGTTTCAAAGTGGTGCGAAATGGATTTGGTCCATCCACAGTACGTTGCAACCCTTGGTGGATGTTGGGTCGTGTTTTCTCTTGTTGGTTCAGTTTCATTCCCTCCTTGCCTGGGCAGGGACTCCCCGAAACTAAATTTTGGCTTTCCTGTTGGTTTCCCTTTAGAGCCACCCAAGAAGGGGTGCTCGGATGTCCAGCAAGGTAAAGTGGTTAGCCAGGTTGTAACCCACTCATAACAGGGTAGCCCCATTTCGGGGGAATTATAACACAAAAGTGGGTTATAACCTCGGTTACCAACAACTTTCGAACTTGGAATCGTGGTATAGTACTTTACAATCCTTGGTATGGTAGCAAAAAGACTTGCAGCCCCTACCAAAAATGAAAAGAACCTACTAAAATAAGCAACGCAAATCAAATGAGGTTGGATTGGCTTGGTTTGGCATAGCTACCAATCTTGGGCTCATCTTGGCTTGGTTTTTTGACAGCCCTTTCAAAAAATGAGCAGAACCCAAGTCACGCCCAAACAACTTGTTTAACAAAATGCAAACAAGGGTGAAGATGATGGTTTCCTTGGTTCCAACGGGGTGCGAGGGTCCACCCAAAGGGGTATTGCGTTTAGGGTCCAGGGTTTTCAGACACAGTTGCTAAGGACCAACGCGCACTAGTCCATAGGTGGCTTGTCCCAGCGTTCATACAGCGTCATCCATCCCAACTGGTGCTGATTGGAGAAGGTTTGTTGGTCCATAGTTCTTCAGAGCCCTCAGCAAAACCTCCAAGCCCTGGGACGAGAACCTTGAATGGTGAACGTTTCGGTTGAAATGAAAACCCAAGAGCTAAAACACTCAGCTAAGTCTGGCCATGAACACGTGAGGGGGTCTGTTTTGGTCAACTACATGGAATTCACACAAATTGGGGATCCGTTTTGAAAGAAATGTGCAAACCAGAACGCACAGGCAGATTCCAAGAGAAACATGTTGAAACAAGTGTTGCTTGACTCGGCGGATCGAAAAGGGGCTGGTTGGCCACGTCAGGGAAGGATTAAGAACTTCAAATACCACAGCCCAGGTGTTGAGGGTCGATTCCGCTTCACAACCGCCCACAAACAAACAAAAAACAACTACTGATACGGGTTTTTACACATACCCAAGTGTGGACCTTTCTTCTACACCTCTGGGTGTCCTTTTGGCAAATCTCGAAACTGCCAAAACACCCTGTGGAGAAAACGACGACGAAAACGACCTCGGACAAATTGCTTTAGGTCCGTTGGGCAGGTTGAGGCAAACATTTGGGGGTTAAGTTTCATGGGACCCCGGCGGGCGGCGGTGCAACGTTGCAACTCTTCAAATTCACCAGGCCCTCCACAGAACCGGTCTAGGACTCGGCTTCTCTGTTGAACCATCTCGAGTGTCGTTTTTTTGAAGGACTCCCCGAAATGGATGGACTTGTGCTGGTTTCGAAGCCGCAAAAAGGCCACCCTCCAAACCGAGCAGACCCAAACGGCTGTCGAAGCTGAGTTTTGCCCAAGGGATGAAATGGTCCAACCCCAAACCCTCCAAGTCCGCAACTCCAGCGACACTCCGAAAAGCTGAACGATTCAGGACTTGATTCCTTGTCCATTCTTTTTAGCCATCGTTCTTCTCAAAAACCGATCGCGATTTCCCCGGGGTTTTTGGCGGTTTTCCAGAAAGATCCGGATCCCTGGAAAGAATGGGGAAGTTACCCCTAAGATGGCAACCCGGAAGCCGTGTTTCGGAGCCTTGATGTGGATCTCCATGCCATTCCTCAAACTCGTTGGTCGGTTGCAGACCAGGGTTGAGTGACTAGCGATGCGAAAATGTCAAGAGCCAGTTTCAAACCTCCAAAACTGGCTTCCCTTGAAAGATCTCTATGCTTCCCTTCTTCCATTTGGTTAAGACCCCTAGAAAAAATAAACATATTTCCAGTAATTAGTGACAGATTCCCTTTAAAACCAACAGTGGAAAATAAAAACTATTCTTATGCAAATGGACGCCTTGCATGTTTGAAAGCATGGCTGCACTTGCTTGCAAGTGCATCAAATCAAATGTGGACCCCGACAATGGGGCCCCCCCCGGTCCTCCAAGAGAAAGCCGCTCCGCAAGTAGGTGTGTTTCACGTTCCACGACACACTTTTCGTGGGAGTAACCTTTGGCAAAGATCAACATAGGGCGGTGGTACGATAGAGATCAGGCTTGCCATCACGTCTAAGCAGGCTTCAACAGGCAAGCATTTCTGCAATCCCTTTCAGGCATGCTGTAGTTTCAAGATCGATCAAACCTCTGGGTCACTCAATCAACCAACCTGATCAGAGCCACCTTTGAGAATGGAACCTGCATCAGGTCGCAGCAACACTCTTCAGTCCCAGTGCTTTGCAACTTGCCAGAAAGCGACATTTGTCTACTGGGGACAACCAGAACGAATAGGAAAGCAAAACCGGCTCCGGAGCGAGCCGGTGGTTTGATCCTTCGCTCTCTCCGGGAAGATGTTGGCCTTCCCACAGCCGTTTGTACACCAAATCCCTGAGTTGTCTTGGGATTCCCTCGCTTGGATTGGCAACCAGCCTGAACTTAGTGTTTGCCACTACACAAAAAGGGACCAAAGTCCAGAATCTCGGAGAATGAGCAACAGGCCTCAGTCGTTTCGGGTTCCCAGGTTCAAGTTGGCTTCTCAGGGCGTGAGGTCAAATACAACAGTTTGAGATTACTGGGCTGTCCTCATATCCCGTGCTAAAAGCGAATAACTTTTAGTGGGTCAAATGGAATTCCGACCACCTAAAACTTGAAAACTTAAGGAACCGGACGGCTGGGACTCGCCAAGATTCCGCAGCCGACACCCTCACAGCGGGCTGAGGCACTGGCTTCACCCCGCACTCTCCCAGAGTTTTTCTGTCCTCGGGTGCGAGCGCGTTGGACAACAACTTAAAATGCGTTACATCTCTCGCCGTGGTCAAAAACTGTGGATGTGTAGGCCGTTGTCATGGTTCCCTTCAAAGTGGAATCCTTGCAATAGTTGTCCAACACCCCAATGAATTTAGGGGTCCATGACCATCCCACTAACCCCAAGTAAAGGAGTCTTTTGACCATGGCACAACTAAGCCGACAAGGGGGGATGCATGTTGGGTGGCCCGTATGTTTTCTGTGTAACCCTTTTTGGTGGGTTCCAAAGGGAAGCCAAGGGGAACATCGAAGTCATTTTGGAGGGGTCCCCCCGCAAGAAACCAATCGACCCCGTGTTTCCCGTTGGAAGGTCACCGCGCAAGTTGCATCCTAAGCAAGCTGCCTGCAGGGCATGGACATCCTATCCCACAAATATGGGTAGGTCAACATGGAGAAACCTCCAAGAGAGTGGGTTGCCTCTTGGTTTCCCTTAAACAACAAGAAAAAGGTACCCTCACACAAACAACCATATGCACACTTGTGCATCAATGGTGCGTGAGCCCAAACCGAGTTTGCAATCGCTTGTGGCTTGGTCCAAGCAACATCCTAAAAAACAAACGGTTGTCGATACGTATACACGGTGGCTATCGCAGTCCACCCTGGGTTTCAGCCACTATGTTGTACAGGTCCCAACCTTTATTCTTGCTCAGTTGGAGGAGACATGAACATTGCTTTCTGAGCACCAAGGAAGTCAGGCATTGGAGATGTCCGTTTTTTTCTCCCAGGGCGATCTGAGACCGGAACCCACCAGGGCGATCTGAGACCGGAATTCCTTTATGCTGGGTGAGGGCATGGGTGAGGGCATGGGTGTGTGTGTAAAAATTACACATGCACACATTCTTTGACATCTATCATCGCAGAATAATACCACCTCCAAAGCGCTTCCTCTTCGCAAAGCTTTTTGCTATGCATCAGCAGAGGACTTGTTCAACTGCCCGTCCATGAAAGTGACACCGGGTCGTTCAAAAGTCGAACCCCTCAAACTGTAAGCTTCTGAAAATGCACCCACGAACATGCGTTGAGCTGCTTCTGCTTGTTTCTTTTTGGCTGCGCAAACTGCGGCCACTTCAAACGCAGCCACTTAAAATGGGATCCAGCGATATGCGCATCGATTGGATTCCCGTTATGACGCAGAAAAGGGCTCCTTTCCAACCCTTGGTGTGGCCACCGCACTGGCAATGAACCGAACCAAGGAACTAAACAACTGCGAATCATGCAAACACAACCAACAATGAAGGAACACCTGAAGTTCCCTCAACTCACTTCCTGAGTGGATTGGCCACAAAAAGTACCAAACAAGTACCCAAACTTTTTGTTTACCACCAAAAATGGTCCAAACCCAAAAAGGGACTAAAGCCCAGGAACACCCGAAGTTCCCTCGAAGAACAATGAAGGAAGTTCACTTTGGCCCCACAGCCCTGTCCAAGTGGCATCCCACAGGAAGAGCGTGTCACCTCCGCCCCGACGGAGGTACAGCTCCTTCGCGCGAGGGGCGCTGTCAGGCGAGTCATGGTCAAAACCGATCGGTACTAAAACGGTCTACCCTTCCTCTAACTAACATGGAACTTGTGGAGACGTACCTGGAAGATTAATTTCCGTACCCCCTCTCAGTTGCCATGTTGGTGGGAGGGACCCAGAACGAGAGAGGCGGCGCAGGCTCCCATTTGGCCATGGGGCATAACCAATGGCTCCATTTTTGGGTGGATGAACGTCCATTTGCAACCTATTTTGATGTTCATCAGAGGTACAGGGTTTTGACCCACAGCCCTTTATGGTTGGGATTATCCCTTACTACCCTTCAGCTACCCGGGTTTTGATTGTAGCTCAGGTGAGTCATGGTCAAACTCCTTGCTTTCTCCAAGAGGACGTGGAAAAACGATCGAGTGCCCCCGATTTGCGTGGAACACTTGATGTAGGTTCGATGTCCCTCCCAAATGGACGATACGCTGGAAATACTGAGCCTCGGGCGAGTCCTCACCCAACATTGACGGATTATTTTGCGAAACAGCTGCAACAAGAGAGAAGCCAAACTCTAGCCCCAAGAGAACCCTCTGAAGGTGCCAGTAAAAATCAAATCATGAATCCCCCTTTTCCCTTTTTGTATTTTTGGGAAACTCGAGAATGGGCCAGTTGCAGTACTCAGCAATGCCCCAAAAGGCGTTGAGGACTTTGGGACCTCAAGTGGTTTGCTCTTGGTTTCAACATCGAAAGCGTTCCATGGGGCCGCTATTTTGAGACTTGCCCATTTGGGGGTACCCCTGTTTTTTTGGGTGGTTTTAAATTGGAACCGCCATTTTCACACCTCCCATTTTGTGAACGTTCCCAACGCGAAAGAAGCGGAACCACTCTCCTGGTCTGCTGCAGGGGTGCCGCCATGGAAGTACAGCCTCGCACCCAGCCACTGCCCACCCAGCTGAGTACAAGCCAGTGCCCCGTTCTGACAATCGGTTCTGCATCAACTGCATTGTTTGGACAGAGATTTGGTGTGGGTCAGGAAATGCCACAATAATCGAGAGGGGCGTCCGAATTCTGCATCACCAGCATCATCCAGCCTTCCCTTTGGCAGGCTTGCTGCTCCATGCGGGATGCAGTTCCGCATCAACTGCGTCGTGTAGACACAGATTTGGTGCGGGCCAGGAAAAGCAAAAACACTGAGAGGGTGCCCGAATTGCACTGCATCACCAGCATCATCCAGCCTTCCCTTTGGCAGGTTTGCTGCTCAGTGTGAGGTGAGGGTTCTGCATCAACTGCATCGTGTAGACAGAGATTTGGTGTGGGCCAGGAAGCGCAAACACCCAATTGCACTGCATCACCAGCATCACCAGCATCATCCAGCATCATCCAACCTTGCATTTGGCAGGTTTGCTACTCTGTGTGGGGTGCGGTTCCGCATTTGGTGCGCGTCAGGAAATGCCAGAATATCGAGACGGGTGTGCGAATTGCATTGCATCACCAGCATCATCCAGCCTTCCCTTTCATAGGTTTGCTGCTCGATGTGGGGTGCAGTTCTGCTCAACTGCGTCGTGTAGACACACATTTGGTGCGGGCCAGGAAAAGCGACTTGCACTGCATCACCAGCCTTCCCTTTGGCAGGTTTGCTGCTCGATGCGGGGTGCAGTTCTGCATCAACTGCATCGTGTAGACACAGATTTGGTGTGGGCCAGAGGGTGCCCGAATTGCACTGCAACACCAGCGTCATCCAGCCTTCCCTTTGGCAGGCTTGCTGCTCGATGCGGGATGCAGTTCTGCATCAACTGCGTCGTGTAGACACAGATTTGGTGCGGGCCAGGAAAAGCAACAACACTGAGAGGGTGCCCGAATTGCACTGCATCACCAGCCATCCAGCCTTCCCTTTGGCAGGCTTGCTGCTCGATGTGGGATGCAGTTCTGCATCAACTGCGTCGTGTAGACACAGATTTGGTACGGGCCAGGAAAAGCAAAAACATGCCCGAATTGCACTGCATCACCAGCCTTCCCTTTGGCAGGTTTGCTGCTCGATGCGGGGTGCAGTTCTGCATCAACTGCATCGTGTAGACACAGATTTGGTGTGGGCCAGAGGGTGCCCGAATTGCACTGCAACACCAGCGTCATCCAGCCTTCCCTTTGGCAGGCTTGCTGCTCGATGCGGGATGCAGTTCTGCATCAACTGCGTCGTGTAGACACAGATTTGGTGCGGGCCAGGAAAAGCAAAACACTGAGAGGGTGCCCAAATTGCACTGCATCACCAGCATCATCCAGCCTTCCCTTTGGCAGGTCTGCTGCTCGATGTTCTGCATCTAGACACAGATTTGGTGTGGGCCAGAAAAAGCAAAACACTGAGAGGGTGCCCGAATTGCACTGCATCACCAGCATCATCCAGCAGGTTTGCTGCTCGATGCGGGGTGCAGTTCTGCAACACTGAGAGGGTGCCCGAATTGCACTGCATCACCAGCGTCATCCAGCCCTTTGGCAGGTTTGCTGCTCGATGCGGGGTGCAGTTCTGCATCAACTGCATCGTGTAGACACAAATTTGGTGTGGGCCAGAAAAAGCAAAACGCTGAGATTGTGCCCGAATTGCACTGCATCACCAGCATCATCCAGCCTTCCCTTTGGCAAGTTTGCTGCTCGATGCGGGGTGCAGTTCTGCATCAACTGCATCGTGTAGACACAGATTTGGTGTGGGCCAGAAAAAGCAAAACACTGAGAGGGTGCCCGAATTGCACTGCATCACCAGCATCATCCAGCCTTCCCGTTGGCAGGCTTGCTGCTCGATGCGGCGTGTAGTTCTGCATCAACTGCATCGTGTAGACACAGCCAGAAAAAGCAAAAACACTGAGAAGGTGCCCGAATTGCACTGCATCACCAGCGTCATCCAGCCTTCCCTTTGGCAGGTTTGCTGCTCAGTGTGAGGTGCGGTTCTACATCAAGTTGCGCGTGGTGCTCCTTGTGTGATTTTATCTTCAATATATAAAACGCTATACTTACATTATAATTATAACATATAAGGGTATAAATGTTATAATCATAGTATGAGTTCAGGTGTTAGGTGTTTTAATTTGTGCAGGTTCGGATGATACAGTTGCCCGTTTCAAGTGATACAGTTGTCCGTTTCAAATGGTACGGTTGCAGCTGTCCGTTTCAGATGATACAGTTGTCCGTTTCAGATGATACAGTTGTCCGTTTCAAGTGATACACTTGTCCGTTTCAGATGATACAGTTGTCCGTTTCAAGTGCTACTGCATCGTGTAGACACAGATTTGGTGCGGGCCAGAAAACGAAAAAACACTGAGAGGGTTCCCCAATTGCACTGCATCACCAGCATCATCCAGCATCATCCAGCCTTGCATTTGGCAGGTTTGCTACTCAGTGTGGGGTGCGGTTCCGCATTTGGTGCGCGTCAGGAAACGTCAGAAAATCGAGAGGGGTGTCCGAATTGCATTGCATCACCAGCATCATCCAGCCTTGCAGGCTTGCTGCTCAATGCGGGGTGCAGTTCTGCATCAACTGAATCGCGTAGACACAGATTTGGTGTGGGCCAGAAAAAGCAAAACGCTGAGAGGGTGCCCGAATTGCACTGCATCACCAGCGTCATCCAGCCTTCCCTTTGGCAGGGTTGCTTGTGCAGCTCTGCATCAACTGCATCGTGTAGACACAGATTTGGTGCGGGCCAGGAATGGCAAAATACTGAGAGGTTGCCCGAATTGCAATGCATCAGCAGCGTCATCCAGCCTTCCCTTTGGCAGGTTTGCTGCTCAGTCTGGGGTGCGGTTCTGCATGAACTGCATTGTTTGGACTGAGATTTGGTGCGGGTCAGGAAATGCAAGAAGAAAGACAGGATTCCCAAATTGCACTGCGTCACCAGCATCATCCAGCTTTGCTTGGCAGGTTGGGTGCGGTTCAGCATCAATTGAATTGTTTGGACAGAGATTTGGTGCGGGTCAGGAAATGAGAGGGATGTCCGAATTGCACTGCATCACCAGCATCATCCAGCCTTCCCTTTGGCAGGCTTGCTGCTCAATGCGGGATGCAGTTCTGCATCAACTGCATCGTGTAGACACAGATTTGGTGCGGGCCAGGAAAAGCAAAAACACTGAGAAGATGCCCAAATTGCACTGCATCACCAGCATCACCCAGCCTTCCCTTTGGCAGGCTTGCTGCTCAATGCGGGATGCAGCTCTGCATCAACTACATCGTGTAGACACAGATTTGGTGCGGGCCAGAATTGCACTGCATCACCAGCATCATCCAGCCTTCCCTTTGGCAGGTTTGCTGCTCGATGTTCTGCATCAACTGCATCGTGTAGACACAGATTTGGTGCGGGCCAGGAAACGAAAAAACACTGAGAGGGTTCCCCAATTGCACTGCATCACCAGCATCATCCAGCCTTCCCTTTGGCAGGCTTGCTGCTGGATGCGGGATGCAGTTCTGCATCAACTGCATCGTGTAGACACAGATTTGGTGTGGGCCAGAAAAAGCAAAACACTGAGGGGGTGCCCGAATTGCACTGCATCACCAGCATCATCCAGCCTTCCCTTTGGCAGGTTTGCTGCTCGATGTTCTGCATCAACTGCATCGTGTAGACACAGATTTGGTGTGGGCCAGAAAAGGCAAAACACTGAGAGGGTGCCCGAATTGCACTGCATCACCAGCATCATCCAGCCTTGCATTTGGCAGGTTTGCTGCTCAGTGTGAGGTGCTGTTCTGCATCAACCGCATCGAGTAGACACAGATTTGGTGCGGGCCAGGAAACGAAAAAACAGAGAGAAGGTTCCCCAATTGTACTGCATCACCAGCATCATCCAGCCTTCCCTTTGGCAGGCTTGCTGCTGGATGCGGGATGCAGTTCTGCATCAACTGCATCGTGTAGACACAGATTTGGTGTGGGCCAGAAAAAGCAAAACACTGAGAGGGTGCCCGAATTGCACTGCATCACCAGCATCATCCAGCCTTCCCTTTGGCAGGTTTGCTGCTCGATGTTCTGCATCAACTGCATCGTGTAGACACAGATTTGGTGTGGGCCAGAAAAGGCAAAACACTGAGAGGGTGCCCGAATTGCACTGCATCACCAGCATCATCCAGCCTTGCATTTGGCAGGTTTGCTGCATCAGCTGCATTGTTTGGACGCAGGTAAGCTCAAGAGCCTGCGGTTTGCCTTGGTTCTAGAAAAGAGGTGAGCCAGGGCAATTTCTGCGACGTCCTCGTCATTTTAAGGGGGTCTTGGTGTCACAGAGAATGGCTCTAAACACCCGGTTTTCCACAAACATGTGCGCTACCAAAGGCCCTGGCGATAGACCGCATGTCGATATCCACATGGCAGGTGTGGTCTCCCTGGCTTCGGCTTTTGCCCCCAATCAACATCTTCTGTGAGCCTGGGGGTTGTTTTTGATGGCGCCCCAAAATGGGAGGGTTTCAAAGGCGACCACCCTGGCAGGTCCCGAATTTTGCGACAAACCCTTTGGTGAACCTTAGGAAACATAAATCCCTCAGAGATCTCACGGCAAACCCTTAAACTCGAGGTCCCATGAACGCGTCGCCTTCCTGAGGGTCAACTAACTCTGCTTCCATGAAGAAAAACGGATGGGTGTCTAAAAATCAGGAATGGACGCCAATGCTGGGGCTGCCTCCTTTGGGCTCTTGAACACCAGAAACCAGAAGCTGCGCCCCCAGAGTTGGGGTCGGAAAAGTGGCCCACATTGCACGCTTCTTAAGGCCCAGGCTTCTCCTTCACCCGTCCCACCTCGCGAAAGCATGGGAGTGTTTGCGTGACATCCGCGTAGGGGCCCAAATTTGGAGACATGTCTCCCTTACTGAGTGCATGGCTCAACAAAAGTCCAACTATGTTGTATGCCCCTAAACTAGCCTTCCCACAAAGTACAAGGTTCATGACCTTAGGACGTGACAAATGTTTGAACAACTTGCGCTGAGGCAGTACCAAGATGTCAAAGGCACCCACCTCTCTGGTGGAATGCACCAGATCTTTGGCAAGCCTCTTGTGAAACCAGTCCGCATGTGTGATGTCCTTGCACTAATGGGGCAATCATGTTGGGCTGTGTTGCTCCGGCGCCAGGAGTGGGCGCAGGGTGGGGTTTTGCCCATCGCGAGATCTGCTGTCGTGACTGTGTGCACCACTGTATCCACCTTCCATTTCCAAATGTCTCGGACTCTGATGCTTGGGTTCTGATTCATTAAGGTTGCTAAGGTATGTGGGGAACTACTTTGTTCAGCTCAAAACGGTGGTTGAAAACTTTCACACGGGCTTTTGAGCTTCGTTCTGGGGCTCACCTGGTTTCATGTGCAAAGCAGCCGGTGACTTCAACATGGCATTCCTGTTTGGAAGGACACGCTCCCGTAAGTGTCTCCACTGATCAAAGAGCGTGTAGCAAAGCAAAATCGAACTGTATTTTACGTCTTGAAGAGCCCGTTCTTTTGGGCACAAAATCCGGAAGCTGCCACTGAAACAAAAAACGAGACAGGCTGCCCGGCCGTCATGGTGCTGTCGAAGACGATGTCGTGGTACTTCTGGATGAGGTTGGAGTGCGTGACGTCCAGCCGCAAGGTGGTGCTGGCCTGCGAAACGTCCACATCCCTGGTTTTGTTGGTTTCCAGGTAATTAAGGGATGCATGGGACCAAAGTCGGGGACGCTGGGGCGCGGCCATGGTTCAGGGAATCGGGGGGGGGGGGGGGGGGTTAGTGGCAGGAAAATCGGGGGGCTGCTAAAAGTTTGACTTTTAGTGTGCAAAAAAATCGGAAACCCAACCACTAGACCCTGAACATCTAAAAGCTTAAGAGGATGGCGGAGAACCTCCAAGTATTGTGGAAGTTACAGTCCATGCAGGCTTACCCATGAAGCATTGATCATTAATCTGCGCGTAGACATGATATGACATGATAAAATGGGGTTGTCCGCCCCTGTTTTGTGCGGGAAACTTGAGTTGTCCCCTCATGCCCTTCCCAAACTAACAGTGGACTATCAATCATATTGTCAGGCACTCATATAAATCACGCCATCCCATTGTGTAAGTGGCCAAAAGGATTTGGGCGCTCGCAGTATACCCGGGCGTGCTTCTTTTCGTACCCCGTTGTGCTGGCTAAAAACAAGAAAACCAACCGGAGAACCAAACTGTTGGAAGGGGGGCCCCCTCAAAAAAGACACACACACACACAGCACTTGGGTTGGCAAGCCTAAGAAGTTCAGGAACCCCTGTCAGCGAACCGAACTTCGAGCTGGGAAGCCTGGAATCTGACGGCCTGCAGGCCGTGTGTACTCGCACATTTCACGGGCGAAGTCCAAAATAGGAATCCCCCGAGATCCCACATGGGGAGGCAGGCAATCGATGTTGCAAAAGGCAAAAGGCAAAAGGTGCAATTCCGGGGATAGGATCATCTGACAGTCAATGGGCGAAAAAATTGGCACAAGCCCGTGCCCTGAAACTCCCTTTCAATCCAGCCCATAATTAGCACCCTTGAAACAATCTATCACCCAAATCGACGCAGAACTCGCCTGGTTGGCATAGCGATACCCATCCGCCGCTGTCACATAGTCCCGCAGAGCCTGCATCTCCTGGGACCTTACCACACAGGCAAATGGAATCAGGAAATGGAATCAACAAGGTAAACTCACTTCCTGAGTCGGCCCAAACACAGTCCTAAACTTTTGCTTACCACAAAAATGGTCCAAACCCAAAAAACGACTAAAGTCCAGGATTTCATGAAGTGAATACACCAAGGGAAAACAAACACCGGGAACGCCTTGAAACCACAAATGATGACCAAGCCTCTCCTGTCATAAGTCCACAGAAGCAAGCCCGAGGCTGCCACTGATGCATGCTGGGCCAGTCCTGACTGCCGAAGACCAGGCAAGGAAGTCAGAAGCAATTGGGCCCTGCGTGTTCTGCTGTATTCGGCTGAATTCTGCTGGATTCTGCGAATAAAGGAATGGATTCTGCTGGATTCAACCCGAAACCAATGGACCCCCTGGGAAGAACATGTATCATTTTGTGGTCGCCTTGTTTCGAAACATGTGAGGGCGATCGCTTGAATCCGCATGTCTGCAAAATCACACGCCCCTCTGTGCATTTTGGAAGGAACCCAACAGGAACCGGTGCCATTCGGAGGACTTAAGCCTTCAAGCTGTAACGTCCCAATTCGAACCACATCCCTTTGATCAGGGCCTTAAAGATTGGCCAATCGATAAACTCATCACCATGCCGGGACAGGGAGATCAAACACATGGGTCTAGGAACGCCACGGGGGGAACCATCAATCCTCCCAAGGTGATGAGAGTTCCTTGCCTTGCCCCAACGAACACCACTTGGCGGGTTCAAAGAAAACCCGCAAACTAGCACCGCTAACGCAATCCAAAGACAGACGTTAACCTACCAGAAGAGCATAGCTGGCCCTGCGGCCAATCTCTACATTCTTTGGGCTAAGAACACACCGCCTCATAGTGGGATGTGTCACTAACCAAATTGTCGAATGGCCGGGAGCCGAGAAGAGTACCACCGGCAGAACTGACAGCAGTTCCAAAACCCAGCCAGTTGGGTTCGCTGCAACCCCCCCCCCGTCTCCTCCGACTTCGTGCCGAGCATGGCGCCTGGCGTTCTTAGACGCACAAAGAAAGCTCCTCAAAATTTACATGTCATTCGAATGGTTCTGCGAAACCCTTCGCAAGTAACAAGGATTCAAAAAGGAACACCACCCAAAAGCAGTCCTCTGACAGGACGCGACAGGAGCAGAACCCACAAAAGCTGCAGGATCTGCAGGATCTGCAGGCGGGCGTTCAACTTCAAAGGGTCAGCACACACCCAAAGCTGCAACAGAGCCTACCATCGAAGTTCGGGTGAACCCGATCGCCCCGATGCGCCGTGAGCTTGTCACTTGGGAAGGATGCAATATATCCTGCGGCACATGGCACTTCAAAACAGGTCACAAAAGAGGAGCGACAATCTAGGTTCATTGTATCTGTCTGTTTGGTGGCCCTTGGGCTTTCGCCCTAATCTCCTTACCTCCTCACAAGATGTGGGTCTCTCGCTGCATTGCTTCCCTGGTCACATCACGAGTTCTGCGCTGAAGAAAGGTCCCCCAGGTTTCCTTCACACGGCGCGCTCTGTGGATCGGAACCCAAGAGGTGCCTCCGCAATGTGAGCCCAGGGCCGGTTGTTTATATATCCATCCCTTGTTGACCCATCCCCTTGCCTTCAGCAAATGTCTCCGGTTTTCCAATCCCACAACGGAAAATTGGAATTCTCTCCAAACAACCACGTTAATGCTCTAATATCATCCACTTGAGCATCCCAAGCACAAGTAGCCATGTCCTTAGGTTTGGCGGGAAAGGTTGTTTTTAACAATATGAGAAACAATCTCCAGGAAGTTAGCCAAATATCCGCAAAACAAAGGTTCCTGGAGAAGTTCCTTCCATGTTTTCATTCCCCCAAGGTAGACTGAAACCAGGGGTCCCTTTTTGGGGACATCGACCATGCCTGGGTTCAAGTCTACCTTGAGTGGCATCAAACCATGGAGTGGCGGGAAATGAGGGCCCCCCCATGCCCCATGCGAAGTGCCTTGCCCAACTCCCGCAAGCTCGAAAAGGGCGCCTGCCCGAAAGCACCGGGCCGAAGGCTAAGGGTGGGGTTGCCCGATGGTGGCGCAATCCATTTCGCACCGAGTCTCTGGTTTCGGATTCGATTCCCCTGTACCAACAAGCAATGGTTTCAACCATGGTGTCAAAGTGGTGCGAAATGGATTTGGTCCATGCACAGGGGGGCTTAGAGTTCAAAGCAAGGATCAAATTGTGTGGCGCCATGGCGGCTACTTGGCCATGGTTTCCTTTTGAAGCACCACCCAAAAGCATACCCTCGAAGCAGTCACGCGCAAAGATTGAGTCCATTGTCAGGCACTCATTGTTTTTGTTTGGCGTTCTTAAGGGCGGCATGCGCGATGGAACAAGACACTGAAGAAACGGTGCGAGCTTTGACATCCGTTGCCTTCTACCTACACCTGGGAAAGCGGATTCTTCCAAAAGCGGGGGTTCACTAAGAATCCTAATCCACAATTTGCCAACTAGAGAACCCATCTGGCATAAGGATTAAGGATTAATTCTAAACCCAGGCAAAAACCTCCAAGGGTAACGCCACAATGTGGTTACCCTTTGGCTCGCCTGAACAAACAACCACACAACTCAAATGGGGTGTGCATTGGGGGTTCTGAACGGCCCAAGCACAGATCCCACTTGTGAAACCTCAAGCCTAAGGGTCACCGCTAGGAAACTTCATAGGGGAGGTCGCCGGGGAGGTCGCTGTCCGGAGCTCATCTGTTTCTCACTTACCTGCATCTCTTTGTTACACTGGAGAGATGAGTGCTAGAACATCGTGCACGGCATGGATAGAAAGCTTGTCGCGCCTACGCGAGTCCTCCAGATACACAATCATCCTAACTTTTCTTAGATACGTTTAGGGCACTTCAGCCCGTGGAAGGTGATGGTTCTTCATGTGCTGTAGAGACCCATACTTGTCTAGCAGCCTCAGGTCCCATGGTCAGACACCCACGCACCGCTACGCACACCCACCAAACCAATTTTAGGGGTCCTCGCTCAAGTGCAACAGCATTAAACACGACAGCAGTGGTGGCGGCAGCGGTGGCACAAGAAAAAGCAGTTAAGAAACAAATGACAAAGGCCATGCTCAGCTGACCCCAAATGGCGCGCAGCAAGTGGCCTGTTGAAAAGAGTGAACCATTGGGAAGGTGCAAAACACTCTGGATGCCGGCCGGAGAAGTTGCTACGTAGTACAAGCAACCAGCGAATTCACACTAAGCCACGCTAAGCAATCTCAACTTGAAAATCCAGCACCCTGCTCAAGTTCCCTGATCTCGCTCCCAGGTGGGCCTGCGTTCCGATCTACTTGCTGGCACTTGAGCCACAGTGTCTGCAAACTTGCTTTCCTTGCCCGTCATGTGGGTATGGGTCAAAATTAGGCCACCGGGAATCGGACCGCAGATTTTAGGCCATGCTTCCATTTAGCAGGGCAAGCCATTTTGGGGATACCCTATTTTGACCATCACAGCCAAGGCTCAAAAACGCACACCCACACATCTGTGATATGCGTATGCGATGTGGACTCATGTGGTTTTCCCTGCGGTTTCCGGTACACCAAACCCCAATAACGAGTAAAGCAAACCAACCCATCCAAACCCCTCCAACAAAGCAACCAAACCACCAAACCACCAAACCACCAAACCACCAAACCAAACAACCACACCAACCACACCAACCACACCAACCACACCAAACCACCACACCAACCACACCAAACAACCACACCAACCAAACAACCAAACCAAACAACCAAACAACCACACCAACCAAAGCAAGCCCTCCAAAGCCGAAGCCTAACCCGGCCCTCCCGAGCTCGGATCAAGCTCGAGATGCCCGTAGCATCTGCCACCCCATGCGCCTCCGATACCCCGTGGAAACCGCGAAATTCCGCCAAACATAAACCTGAAAATCACCAAACCATACCACTCGCACACAGAAAAAAACAAAATCCTTTGACACGGTGTACGGCTGCTTGATCATTTGGCCAACATGTCAGTGTATGCTTTCAGGAACCCTGAAAGAGAAGAAAAACTAAGAAAGACTCATTGGGCGGCATCTTTGTGGGTGGCAGGTAATATCTCTGCGCAACATGCTTAACCTGTTTTCCCAAAGAGGCGACTTGGGGACAAACACATGCATGCATGTGGAAACGGAACGACTTCCTCCCCAGAACCTCTTTCGACTTGGTCATTGTTTGCCATGTTTTTGTCGCACAACGCAGGTCGGCGAGGTGGCGATAACTTGACCAAACAATCTCAAAATCGGTCGGTACAAATCCGGCTGATGAAGCCGAATCTGAAGGCGCTGCTATGCATGACCCGAAACTAAAATCCTCAAGACTGCAAACAAGTGATTCCAGAGATCAACTTGCTGTAACAATCGGTTGAATTTGCTTTATGCCGGCGATAGGCTGGCGGCTTAAAAAGCTGGTCCTGCCAGGTTTCACATTTTCCCTTCTTCGGATCAAACGAGTCTAAGAAACCAAATATGGGACATGTTGCAAGAAGCTCGCCCAACACCACGGGATTCGGTGGGTATCTAAGGCTATTGCATGATTCCCTGCTGATTTCTGATAAAAGAAGGGTTCTGCAACACGTCCCAACTTGTTTCGCCTGAAAACGCGGGGTATCAAAACCAGAAAACGCCTGCTCTCGGCCCAACTTTTGTTCGCCTCTTCTTGAAAGAGCCGATGCCTCGGGGGCCAAACACTGGGCAAAAAGCATCTCACGCACGGCTCCCAGTCCACCCGTCGCTTCAACCAACGGCCCCGTCTTCAACATACGAAAGCGCGGAAATTTCAATCAATGATCACCAGGTCCTCCAGTAGAGAGGGTAGAATAAGGGTACCCTTTTTTCTGTAGTCTGTTTTAGTGGGGGAACCCTCCCCCAAAAAAGGGTAAAAGGGCACTACTGGGGGACCTAGATCATGAGGCTACCGGGACCAGCTGTGGTTGAAGACAGGCGGAATGGGGCCCTTTAGCTTTAATGCTCCAGATTTGCCCAAGGCCGTAATCCGACTAAACGCCGAAGCGTTTGCGGCGCAATCAGAAAAGGGCCCAAAGCTTGAGGCCAGTGTCTGGTGGACAACCCATTGCCCAGCCTTGCGGAAGAGAATTGAAGCCCAATCCTTTTTAAATTGTTTACATTTCTGGTCTAGAGGTCTGGGACCTGATTGAACAGATTCCCAAATCATGCCCTGCAAACATCACCACCAAATGGAAGCTCACTCAAATTGGCAACCAACAGGTGATGCTTGGCAATCACCGAGATGAGAAACACTCAACATTGGCAACCAAAAAGGTGGTGTGGCCAATCCCCCAAAGGAGATATGTAATATTGGTAACCCTTTTCAAGCCTACCCAATTTCGGCAGGAGGAATTCAGAGCATATGCCCTAATTTTGTGCAGGAACATTCTGGTTGATTGGGGTCAACAACGGACCCGCGCTAGAGTGACAAGGTTTCATCCAAATGTGCAACCATCACCCGAAAGGGAAGCTCATTGACAATGGCGTTCGCCGCCCCACATGCAATATCCAGCTGCTAAAAGTAACTCATGAGCTACAATGCCTTGTAGCCCTCGCCCCCAAACCTCTGAATCAGTATGCAAGTGCCCCGGCAACACTTCAAGTCCTTCCCGAAAGCAGCCGCTGGAAAAGCTTCGGCTCTGCGCGGTTCGCGGTTTGGGCGCGAATCGCCGGGCCTGGAGCCACCTATGGCTTCAGCCGTGAGTTGGCCAAGGGAGCCGTTCAAGGCGTTTGACGAGAAACAAAGACATCCGGTTTTGACACGAGCTGCTTGGTCTTAAAACAATGGTCTTCTACAAACAACAAGCTGATTTCAATTGTTTTGTCGGCCTTCAATGGAGCCTTTCAATTGAAGGAGACAAAACAAGCTCACATGCGCCTTTGACATGAGTTGACAGGTGGTCAAGGGAAAGAAAGCGGAAAAGGCGGGCAACAGCCGGAGGTCTGCGGAGCATGCCCCCGCCATCAGATTGATCCGCAAAACTATGTCACGACTCTGACAAGAACAGGACATGTGAACAGCCCGCCCTCAAGTTTAAGCCTTTCAGAACATGGCCGTACTCAATTGATATACATGAACGCCGCAAAACAAACAAAAGAGAGATCCGTTTTCAGACATGGACCCCCCTCCAAAAACAAATGATCGGTTTTTAAACGAACCACACCCCTTTTCGGGTTCCACGCTTACTTCTTGGGGGGTCCCTATTGGGCGCAACTTCCTCATCAAGTTCGGACTGACATTTTCCGTTTTTGGCCTCCTGCATACGTTGTCGGGTTTGGATTCATAGAAAGAAACAAATCATCCGAACTACCAATTTCGTCCAGCAGTCCCCTGGACAGGCCTGCAACCATCACATCATTCCATGAGCAACAAATCTCCGACCTTGCCTCCAATACCTTTCCTAGCCATCCACCTTTGGAAATTCATACCTCCTGCTGCAAGCTTCGTACTCACCCTTTTGTGCTGGAAATCACTGGCAAGCGAACGAACAAATCAACCCCCGCGACTTCTCGAAAGGCGGTCGTCGTCATCCTCGAGGCTCTCAGGCACAGCGAGCCACCATCGAACAGGTTCCCTGTTCGAGCGATCTACTCGGCGAATCTGCGCTTGCCTCGATGCTCCCGGAATCGAAAGCTGTGATGCCAGCTTTGGACCATCCGTCTTGCACGAGCATCAGAAATGACAGAGAAGCCTTCTCCCATTTCCTTGTGCGGCCGAGCGTCCTCGCAGCAGCCGAAATGCAGTCCAATGGATGTTAAGGACCGCCCCAATGATGGAAGGACAGGGGTGACGGTTTCCCTTTTGGGTCCGGGTTCCCTTTCAATGAGGTTCCTTCTTTATTCCCTTTCTGGGTTGCTTAAACCTTATTTTTAATGTTGATCGAGCTACCCAAAAGTGCCGTTTGGATTTTGAGGGGCGCTTGAAAACCAGTCGGTTGCAGGACATACCTTTAAGGTTCGTGAATGACTGTGGTATGATATCAAGCCGAGTTCAAATTCATTCAAATTCCAAAGACGCGCGCCCTACCTGCGCATCCCATGTGTTGGGCAAAACGCAGTTAACTCTTGAGGCACACTTCACATCTTGAAAGCCGCTTTTGGCATTGGTCCAATGGAAGCATCCCTGAAGTCTGAATCGAATGCAACTCCAGGATCGAAGCGGCGCTTTCGCTCGCGCGCGAGACGCCACGCTGCGCTAAATGCCATCAGTAGTGCTGGCCAGTGGTCGGCCTTGCGGAAGGTGTGGACCCCGTTGGGGGTGCCCCCTACTTTCCCCTTACACGTCACAAGAGGATCCCTATCGAAAATGGAGGAGGGACAGCTTCAATGGCAACCCAGAGGTGTCAAGCAACGCCAATAGGCTCATTATGGCAAACATCCGTGCATCGTCAACGAACAACACGTTCGATGCATCTGACACGTTGAGCATCTATGAACACATTCACATCTCCAGGTATGCCATGGCATCTGCAAGCAGCAGCATTCACAAAACACAAAAAACAAATGCCATTCTGAGTATGGGAGGGCTCTAAAACTGAAGCTGGACCCGCTTTTAGATGGAAATTCATAAGTTGTTCAAGAGCACCCAAATGTTACAAGCCACAGTCGCTTGTCCTGTTGGGGGGTCTCTGCTCTTGGAGTGACCCCTACTGATGCAGCAACCATTCCGACTAATAGGCACAACTTGCTGTGATCAATCCTGAAATCGCAGGGGCGTCCTTTCAAAAAAGCTGAGTGGATTGCAACCTGAAATCAGGCAATCCCCAGTTCCGGCACCTTGTTCTTGCGAGAGCTCTTTTGTACCCCCTTCCGTCAGCTCGTCGTCGGCCCAAATTTTAAGGAAACTTCGATGTGCTCAAAGGAGCCAGCCAGCCCAGCTATTTCTTTTCAGAAGTCAACAAAGAGCGCTTCATGAAGTGCTACTTCGGCGAAAAAGCTCTGTGTGGGTTGGCTGTCAGATTTGAGGATCCCCCCCATCTTAGAAACAGGCTGCCAAATAAGTGCAGGTTGGTCATCTGGTTGTTTATCATTGCCCACGACCTCCTCAGGACCCCTTCCCCCCTTCGTTTCCCCAGTAAGGCTGCAACCTTCCAGTTCCCAGAACCTCACTGAGGGCCTTCTGACAGGCCAAGCACATGACCTTTCTGCCAAACGTGAAACCAATGGCTTGGAGGCCACAAACTGCCGAATCCCCTAGCTTGAGACACACCCATATTAGATCCGTGTTTCCATTCACCCCTCTGAACAACAGAACCCTATGCTTTATCCTTTTGCCTCGTGTGCGCATAACCTGTCGGATGCTTCCT